CTCTTCATGCTTCTTGCCTCCTCTTCTGCCTGGCTCTTTTATTTTTATTTTTTTCTTTCCTCTTTCTCTCCCTTGCGCGCTCTCTCTGTGCAAAGTGCAAGAGAGGTGCAGCCCCGCTGGAGGAAAGGGAGGGGGGAGTTTAGTTCTTTCTTGCCTTTTTTTTTTTTTAAAGCAAAATAGCGAAGTCCTAGGGAAAGGCGAACTTCATGCTTCTTGCCTCCTCTTCTGCCTGGCTCTTTTATTTTTATTTTTTTCTTTCCTCTTTCTCTCCCTTGCGCGCTCTCTCTGTGCAAAGTGCAAGAGAGGTGCAGCCCCGCTGGAGGAAAGGGAGGGGGGAGTTTAGTTCTTTCTTGCCTTTTTTTTTTTTTAAAGCAAAATAGCGAAGTCCTAGGGAAAGGCGAAGCAGAGAGCAAAAAGGGGAGGCCGAGCCGACGAGCAGCCCGAGCTACAGCTCGAAGATGAAAAAAGATTTTAAAGCCTCTGATCCAGCAAGAAGAGTTTAAAGCAATTGCTGAGTTTTATAGCACTTGTGACGTCAGGCCCAAATGGGAAATTGACGGGTACTCCAGGCCAATGAGAGGCGGCGAAAGCGGCCACGATTAGCATAATAGTATAGAAACAAGGAAACTTTTCGGAGCTGTCAATCAGGGCCCAATCAGCTGACTGTCAGCTGGGACTGGCACGCTTAACCCTTCCCGCGCCGCCACCTCCCCGGGAGAAGCAAAGCCAGGCTCAAAGTTTGGTGCAACAAGGGAAGGAGTTTTCCAGAGTGGGCTGTGGGAACCCAGGAGGATCGGGAGGATGGTTCGTTTTACTTCGGAGCGCGAGAGAGGCCTGTCTTCCAGAGCCCTAGCTGGTCCGCCACTCATTCTGCGGGGATTGGCCTGACAGCTCTCCCCTGCCTTCCCCCAGGATTGTGAATTCGCCTGGCAGCTTTCCCTCCTCGCTCTACCTTCAGTACCCAGGTGTCTGCTCCGAGGACTATACTCCCCCATCTCCAGCCTGGCTGTGTCCTGAGCTAAAACTTGGCCGCAAGTCTTTGTCACTCTCCAGGCGCGGATGCGCTGGAGTGCAGGGGTCCTCACTGCGCTCAGGACGTTGCCCCGCGGCGCTCCTGACCAAGTGGTGTGGGGTCCGCTGAGAGGGAAAGCCTGTTTTATCACCTTCTTCTAGAGGAATGAAATAAGTTGTTCAGGGGCCATTAAGCGCGGGGACCTGCTGCTTGCTTGCGTCGCGTGCCCTTTGGGGGTGGGGGGACGCGGGCGGGAACGAACGCCTATGGAAGTTTACTCCGGGAAAGCACAGAGTCAGGTTAGCCCCCCTCAGCCCTCCGGCTTCGGACTCTAGCTCGTGTTTGGCTTTTGAGATTCATATTCTAATTCATTCTCTCTCTCTCTCTCTCTCTCTCTCCCCCCCCCTTTCTCCCTCTCTCTTTCTCTCCCTTTCTCCCTCCCTCCCTCGCTCTCTCTATTACACACACACGCATTCATACACACGCTCACCCACCCCCTATGAAATCTGACCTCCGTTTATCGGGGTCCCGCGCTCCCTTTGCACTTTTAAGTTTCACTTATTTCAAACTTGCTCGTGGCGAGGAACAAGGGGAAAAACCAACACTCCAGCCTTCGCCAGTTCCCCTCGAAGGGTTAAATTTTAAACCGCTGTTTCTCGGACAAGCCCGGAAGCCCAGAGGGAGGTGGGGTGGGGGGCTGCTTCTCCCCCTCCCCGTTGCAGATGCTAATAACAGTTCAGTTTTCTAGATCGTTTTAAAGCTTATGCAAAAATGAAAAAAAGAAATAAAGAAAAAGAAAAGAAATAAGAAAGAACCAACAATTCTGTTTCTAAGATTTTAAAGCGATAGGCAAGTCGGAGAAGCCGAGATTTATTTGGGGGAAAGCAAGAGTATGCGCAGCGGACCCAGTATTTGGAAGACCAGCCAGCCAGCTTGGATGTTGGGACTATTGATTTCTCCAATTAATGAAATGCATTTGGCGTTAATCACATTTTTTCTTTCTTTCTTTCTTTTTTTTTTTTTTTTTACTTTATGGGAGGGGGAGACGCTAGGAGGGTGCATTTAAAAAAATTCTGAAAAGCCTGCAAAAGGATCGAAGAGTGAAAACTATTGTTGGACTGAGTTGGTTTTTACCTCAACAGCGCCACCTTTCGGCAAAGGTCAGTTGCAATTTATCCGTGTCCAATTTTGTTGATGAAGTGCAAAGAAGCTGGTTTCCTCAGGAGGGAGGAGGAAAGAGGCACAGAAAGTTAGTTTGACTGCAGTGGGAGAAGCCGGTCTTGTAAGAAAGAGGCTGAAGACAGGGCCGGCAGGAAAGGGATTCACTTCTTCTCCACTATCCCCCTTGATTGTTGACAATGGGGCCAGGGAACACAAAAGTCTTAAGAATATAATTCTGGCTGAGAGACTTGAGCAAGTGTATGCCATGTAGCAGTGCCCTAAACTCTGTAAAAGTGTCAGTATGGATTTCCAATGGGCTTTATGGCAATATCTACAGAATTAAAGTTACTTGTAATTCAGTGATAAATGAAATATCTCTAGTAAGTAAGATTAAGTGCAGTGCTATAAAGTTGTTTAACTGAAAAGTAATTCTCAGAAAACCTGACTTCTGACACTTAGTCATATATTAAGCCAGCTTCTTGAACATTGCACTTAAGAACTCTCTCACCTACCCCACAGCATATTTTGCTATTTATAAAGAGACCTTAGGTGTCACTCACTGGCTCAGACACCAGATTAGACTCATGTTAATTTCTCTGATGAGAGCAGCCTTCAGTTTTAGCAAGTCTCCTCCAGTTCCTAATGAGAGACACCCCCAACTCAAATAAAGGTTTGCAGGCACATCATAATCCTAAAAAGCCAGTGCTGTTGGTATTTTCCAGAAAGCACCCTTTCTTTTCATCATTACTGCAGAGAAGCTGTTTATAAGGGTAGTTTTGGTTTTATGGGAGTACTTTGTAGGGTAGAATGAAGTAAGTCTATTACCAGTTTGGGGAAGAAAGAGTGAAAATTATGTCAGTATTTATGAAGCTAACAGAATTCCTTTGCTTCCTACCTCCTAAACAATATTTTACCTAGTAATGAAGTTAAGGGATTATAGCTTATTTATACAGAGGAAAATCCACTGCTTAAATTACATAAACATATTATGTCATTTAGCATTATTCATAGCAATAGTTTTCTAGGCCTTTTTTTTTTATCATTAACCAATGATAAAAATGTCTGAGGTTTATATTTTTCATGTAAAACATGAATTTAAGTGTACTTAGGAAGAATTCGTTCTTTTTGTTTGTTTGTTTGTGATAAGTTTTATTCCTCTTTGCATTACATTTTTGTTAAAAGCTGTAAGATATAATCCCTGCCTCTCATGAAAGTATTTTTGGCAAGGAACACTGAAACTGCTACATTTATAAACAGCGTTTATAAACAAAGTTTGCTAATGAAGACCATGCGATATGGATTCATGGCCGTGCACCTAATTGTTGCAATTATATATCATTTCTAGAAATTAAATGCCCATGTTTGGGCAGCTAAATGTATTATTATCTGCACATTTTTTATGGTTTATTTTTGTACATTGCTGTCAAGCCACGGTATTTTTCTTTCTCTTATTGCAGAGTCTTTTATAGTCTCCCATTTTCTCTGGGAAAAAAAAAAGGATCAGAATTATTTTTTAGATGTGTAGCAGTAATGCTCTCAGGCTTATAACTTAGTCCTCATTTTTGTCCTTTTTACTTTATTATTTTGTGATTCACAGGGGTGTCTAAACATTTACAGTTCCCTGTTAGCAGCGTTTCTTTTCTAACAATTGTGCTCTTTCATTTTAATTAGTACTATTCAGGTTTTTGATTCTGTACAATTACAGCAGACCACATTTCTTTAGACTTCTTTGCTAACATTGTTTGTTTCACTTCTATCCAAGCCCATCTAATCCAAATACAATATGAACTGTGTTTTCTTACTGCTTAACATCCTTTGCTATATATACACTAGTAATCTCTGTAAAACAATATAGAGTAATTTCGAAACCATGCATTTGTCATTATTGACCAATTCAAACCAGTAGCATTAAAGTTTCTGAAAGCCGTGAATATTTATAGAAGAATTTTGGGAGGGAGGAGGACATGAGTCGAATCATGTAGAAGATTGCGAAACCATAACATCCAAAACACAATTGTAGCTTCATGTCAATGCATATGCAACAATTTTATGCAAAAAAAGAAAAAAAAGAAAAAAAAGAAAAGAAAAAAGAAAAAAAAAGGAAAGAAAAATCCCATCAAAATTACAAGAATTATGTTAAAAATAATATGTTTTTCCTGATGGTGAGTTATGGCAACTCAGGTATATCAGGTTGGAGTTAGACATATATAATCCGAAAAGAACAAAATGCATCAAACATAGTGTTTGTACTCTTTGTTTCTCCAGGAGCTGATTTTATGGCACAGAATAACCAGAGTCCACTAAATTTCACTGAGAGACCAACTAAAGTGATTCTAGACAAGGATTGTTGAGAGTAACTGAATGATAAGGCATATTCTGTTCTTAGGTCTAGTGTTAGATAAATCCTTTAACAGTCTTTAGTTAGCAGGGTAAGTAAATCACGAATCACTGTTAGCAGATTCATGGAAGAAAATTAATAGAATCAGACGAGATGATCTGATAAGAGTAAAATTGCTGAGGAAACAGTCTTGCCTCATATTGGAGAATGTGAAACAACAGTCTGATTACTGGGAGTCGTTACGAATAGGTGAATTATGTGCTAAATAATCATCAGAGTAATTCAGCATTTATTAATTCTTTTCTCTTCTAGCAATTCACAGTTGTAAGTTAAAGCTGCTCTCTCTTTGAAGACACATCTTTTATAATTTTTATTAGAGGTA